TGTGGTCTGGAATTCTTATTTTATAGGGTGAATGTATTATATTCTGGGAATATTTAAGTGTGGCATGTGATTCCAGGTTACAAATTAAGATTAAAAAAGAGCTGGTTTGTGCTTCATGGCAACTTGGCATACTAAAATACTACGTATGGTTGAAGCGTAATGATGCCTATTCAGTTCTGTAGAAATTAGCTGTTGGACATCTGTTTTTGAACCCCTCGTGTGTGCTAGAATTATATTTTCTCAAGGCATCACAGCCGAGGGCATAATAAATCCTTGATGAGAATTTCATGCTTCTAAAATGCTGGGATATGACTCAGTTTATATACCCCAGTCAGGTTCTCTCTTTAGTCTTGCTTTTTGGGAAAAGGCAGCTGTTGGACTTTCAGAGATTTTGCTGCAGCAAGCCATCAGAACCATGACTCGATTTGCCAGAGATTCAAATCCCAGAGTGGTAGATGTATTGAGCATATTTGACTTGCTACTTGCTTGTTGGTTGGCTTATTGCTAAACCCCTTGACAAAATAGCAACATCTTTAACCTCAGAGAAAACCATGGATTTGTTCAGCAGCTTCTCCATTCTACCACCACAGCTCTTCCAACCTCCCATAGCACCATGTTCCCATGGTTGAACTTTCTGTCCTGTGGACTCCCCTCTTGCCCTGTAGACCTCCTGTTGCTCTACATCACTTCAGGCCACCTGATACAGAGACCAGCTTCCTCAATTACTGGGGTGGCATGTGGGCTCTCAAGAAGTCACAGCCGCAGGCTACCCAGTGCTATTTAAGTGTTGGTCTACTATGCCCTGTGATATGTCAGTGGACACAGAATAAGAGTTCAAGATTAAATGGTGGTGAAATTCTGCTTCAGCGCATGAATGATTGTACCTGAAGACTGAGCAATGTAACCAGGGAGAGAAGTGATCAACTCAGAGGTTCCCAGATCCTCTGCATTCACAGTACCCCAGTGTCTCAGTAATTCCTTTGCAAAGCCCCCAGGCCAAGAAATAATATGGAATAGTTTCTGTTAGGAAGGGGAGGTCAAACAATTTAAGAATTATTTATGTCCTAACAACTTAGCAGACATTTGAAACAATAATGCATGTAGCTGGAAAGAAATAATACTTTCTTTCGTCCTTAAATAGCCATTATAACTTGCCAGTGCTATGGTATGTGCACCTGTTGAGCTTTGTACACCTTCTCAAACCTTGGAGTAAGCATGAATGCTGCATCCCTCATTTCCTATTCCACGATGATTTTTCACAAGTTATTTGCTTTTTATCATAGCAGCCATGAAAACTCAGTGTCACAAAGATGTGTCATAAAAAGGAATGTAGTTGGGTGCCTGGGTGGCACAATCAGTTAAGCGTCTGACTCTTCGTTTCAGCTCAGGTCATGATCTCATGGTCATGTGATCGAGCCCTTTTTCCAGGCTCCATGTTCAGCAGGGAGTCTGCTTGAGATTCTCTTTCTCTCTGCCCCTCCCTCTGCTCACTCTCTTTCTCAAATAAATTAATTAATTCTCTTTTAAAAAAGAAATGTAGGGGAATCCCTGGGTGGCTCAGCAGTTTAGTGCCTGCCTTTGGCCCAGGGCGCAATCCTGGAGTCCCGGGATCAAGTCCCGCGTCGGGCTTCCGACATGGAGCCTGCTTCTCCCTCCTCCTGTGTCTCTGCCTCTCCCTCTCTCTCTATGTCTATCATGAATAAATAAATAAATCTTAAAAAAAAAAAAGAGGAATGTAGGGGCACCCGGGTGGCTCAGTGATTGAGCATCTGCCTTTGGCTCAGGTCGTGATCCCGGGGTCCTGGGATCAAGTCCCATATCATGTTCCCTGCGGGGAGCCTGCCTGTGTCTGCCTGTGCCTCTGCCTGTCTTTCTGTGTCTCTAATGAATAAATAACAAAATCTTAAAAAAAAAAAAAGGAATGTAGCATGATTTAACATTAAAACTATGAGCTACTTTGAGCTAATGTGTTGTACTCCTAGCTGAGAAATGTTGCTGTATTTTGCTTGAATATCAATAATTTCCCCTTGCAGCACCCCAGGATACTTACTGAAGTGCTGGGATGCAGGGGTTAGATGGTATGCAATTTTCAAATGTGTCCAAATTTTTTTTCCAGTAATCAAAGTTTTGCAGGTAGGGCAGGAGATAACATGTGTCTCATACTGGCAAGTTAACAATGATTTCACATAAATACATCAACCATCTCATGAGATTGGTGGTTCTCATTTTTCCAGTTTTATTCATAGAAAGACAAGAACTCAGAATTATTTCCTCTGTTTAAATAGCAGAGGGAACAGGAGAAGGTCATGCTCAGTTATGTCTTCTCCACACCATATTTGGCCTCTGCTTCTGTTGAGCTTAGAGATGAAATGGGAAATCACTTTTGTGTAGCAGATTAGAATTGTGAGAGGTGTGTCTGCCAATCAGAAGTTTAATGAGAGCAGAATGTCAAGGTCAGCCCTTGGCTCCAAGTAGCCCTGGTACAAATGTGGAAGGAAGAGCTACAGCAGTGTATGTTTAGGTGCCTGAAAGGTCAGTGATGGACAGAGTAAAGCTTTCAGTGATTTCATGTTAGGATACATTACAATAGGTGTAGTAATCTGTTCCAGGGAGATGGGAATCCTTTTTTTTTTTTTTTTTTTTTTTGGAGATGGGGATTCTGTTCTATTCTGCTCTGCTTGTAGCTGTCTGGAAGATCATACTTGGAAGTTATTTGTAAGTTCTGAAGCATGCCTGTTAAATCATGGGTGAAAGACCTGGGACTATTTAGCTAGCAGACACTGAATTTTTAGAGGAAGGATGTGATAAGTGTCTTCCTTCCTTCCTTCCTTCCTTCCTTCCTTCCTTCCTTCCTTCCTTCCTTCCTTCCTTCCTTCCTTTCTTTTTAAGATTTTCTTTATTTATTTGAGAGCAAGAGAGAGAGAGAACAAGTGGTGGGGAGGGGCAAAGAAAGAGACAAACAGACTCCCTGCTGAGCAGAAAGCTCAATGCAGGACTCTGTCCCAGGACCCTGAGATCATGACCTGAGCTGAAGGCAGATGCTTAACCAACTGACCCACCAGGTGCCCCTAGGTATCTTTCTATTTCAGCCTTTCCAAGAGTTTGAAAGAAGAGTTATACTTGTTCTAGCCTAACCCAGAGGACGGAATTAGTACTTTGAAGTATGCTTAGTCTATCAACCACAAAAAAGTAATAATAATAATTTTTAGTGGTTGCAATTGCCCCAGGAGGCAGTAAATTCCCATTATTGAATATCACTGTGAAAAAGATAAAAAGAGATCATTCAACATCTATTGTAAAGGCCTTTCAACCTGTAGATTCTGTTTTTCTAACTTGCTAATTTTTATTTCTTTGAGCAAAGGCTTCCAGGGTACCTGTGCTTTAAATTCAGTTTGCCATCTCACCAAACAGATAGGTCTGCAGGTTGGTAAAATTAAATATAAGGTAAATTTTCAGTTTTTTTGTTGGAAACCAGTATTTTGAAGGTCAGAGGTCATATAAGAAGTCATAGTTGTACTGAGTCTTTGAATGTCTCTCTTCTAGTTTACAAGTACAGTATCTATATGGGTGCAGCCAGTATACCTCTGGGAAGCCTGGACAGGCCTTTTACTATGAGAGTGCACATGTACATACATGTGGTGTATGTGTATGTGCATGAGTGTGTTTTAGTTCTTCAAGAATTTACCTATAGGGATCCCTGGGTGGCTCAGTGGTTTAGCGCCTACCTTCGGCCCCGGGTGTGATCCTGGAGTCCAGGGATCGAGTCCCACGTCGGGCTCCCTGCATGGAGCCTGCTTCTCCCTCTGCCTGTGTCTCTACCTCTCTCTCTCTGTGCCTCTCATGAATAAATAAATACAATCTTTAAAAAAAAAAAAAAAGAATTTACCTATAAATTTCCCAAAGTGACTGTCAGCTCACTGGTTCAGAATTTAAAACAAATCAGTCCTGAGGTACTAATAGTTTTCTCAAGTCATTGTATTATCATCTTATACTCTAAGCAGACACTTCATTATAATTAATTAACGTTGCTAGGACACCTGGGTGGCTCAATGGTTGAGCATCTGCCTTGAGCCAAGGGGGTCCTGGGATCCGGTCCCGCATTGGGTTCCCTGCAGGGAGCCTGTTTCTCCCTCTGCCTGTGTCTCTGCCTTTCTTTGTGTGTCTCTCATAAATAAATAAATAAAATCTTTAAAAAGAAATAATTAATGTTACTGTGCTTTAGACACCATAGATATATTGGGCCTTCTTTCCAGATGACTGGAGGACTTTTGAAAAATAACCCACATTCTTTGATTCCTTGCAGAAACAACCCCTTTTCAGCAAAAGCAATCTTATCTTCCCCTTTTGGACTGTGCTTTTGCACAGTGGAGCTTGGGTAGACTTTATGTCCCTGTGACCCTCTCCGGCCCAATTCTTAAATCCTTCTGCCTTGGCTGCCTTCAGACACTGCCTCCATTTCTGTGGAGAATGGGAAGGCTTTCTTCTTCTCTCTTACTCTGGTCCTCTTTCTGTATTTCTCAAGCCCTGCCAATTTTCTTTCCCTTTTGTGAAAGCAAATTTTACAGAAAATTCCCTTGCCAGCCCTAGGTTGTGTGTGATGTACAGCAAAGCAACAATAAGCTCTCTGCTCATTTTTTGTTTTATTTGGAAGACAGTTCCTAAGACCTCTGTAACCAGCTTCCCTCCTTTATCATTAAGGGGGGTAGTGGGGCACACGTGCCCCCAAGGAGTTTACATGAATGGTTCCCACTGGGCAGAGCGATTACAAACAGGCTGTGTTTTAAGTTAGTTTTGACTTGGGTATTTCATCTGTGAAGTTGGCAAATACTTGAAAGCCACAAGCTACTGTTTTCTGAAAACTTCTTTGCACATGAGCATAAAATGTATGTATTGGATTTGGAAATTGTCCAATAACTGCCCTTTTAATGCATCTAAATGTAGATTACAGCTGTTTCCTCTGGAAAGATGCATAGAGTTATCATTTCTTTCTTCTCTTACAGGGTGTCTCCTCTGCAGAAATCAGAGATAGTGGACGTGGTTAAGAAGCGGGTAAAGGCCATCACCCTTGCCATTGGAGACGGTGCCAACGATGTTGGGATGATCCAGACAGCTCACGTGGGTGTAGGAATCAGTGGAAATGAAGGCATGCAGGCGACCAATAACTCGGATTATGCCATTGCACAGGTCAGAGGTGTGGTTGACCAGCTGTCCTATCCTGTTGACAGAGATGTCCATTGGGCATGAAGTCCTGATTAATGCTTGACCTTCAGTCCAGCCCTATGAACTCTGCCACCCCTTTTGATGTTGTGTGTAAACACAATCATCAGAGTATTCAGATTTCTCTGTGGCCTTGATGCTGTGCATTTTGAAGGCCCTGTGGTGCTGGTTGTCATGGTGGTTGTGGGGTTTTTTTGCCGGCTGTGAGTTGGCCAAGCTTTCTGTCCTCCAGGCAGGGCGTCATGCCTGACAGATAGGTCTCTGATCCTGCTAATAATAGTCTCTCACTTTCAACTCCCACATCTGGTGCATGTGCTTTTCCTGGTGCCATCCCATGCTAAAGAGTGGCTGTGCTCATTACATCCATTCTCTACCATCCCCAGCCCAGAATCTGTCATCTTTGAAGAAGGTGCTGGAACATTCTCTCATCAGGCATTTAAGGTTAGGGGAAAGCAGTGGGCTTACAACTGCCACCTTCTCTGTAGCTATAACCCACAGTCAGTAGGAAACAGTGTCCTGCTATTGGGTCAAGTTCAACCTACTCCTCTCTGGATCAGATGTTGCATGCAGAGGCTTCTGATGTGCTTTGTAGTTACTGAACAGATGGCCTGAGGATGAAAGAATTGCCTACTCCTCAATGATGGCCAAAAAGTGAAGGAAAATAGCCAACCTCCTGACCTTAGGTGACATATCTAAATCACTTGGCCTGCTTGATCTAGATTTTAATCTAGACCTCACAATGGACACCGATCATTTCCTCCTGTCTACAGATTGCAGTATGTGGTGATAAAATGCCTGCTCATTTGGTGGCTAGCTAGGGTCCCCCCATCATGCTCTTCCAGTGTTTTATCATTTGAAGAATGTGTTAACCCTAATCACATAAGCACAGGTAACAATGGCTTTTTATCCCTTCAAGCTGAAATCAGGGGCTGTGTATAAAATGTGAAAGAGCTTCCAACAACCCCAGGGCTACAAGCTGGTGCTGTGCGACTTTGGGGCTCTGCCTCCCCAGAGGGGGGTTCTGCATTAGATCACCTCTCAAATTCCCTCACAGCTCATGGTTCTGCAAACACAGGGAAGAATTACAAAATCCTCATGGCTCTGGAAAGTACGTGAAATCAATCTTGTTTCTCTGTTAATTTCAAATAAATAAATCCTCAAGATAATTGATAAAGTAGGTAGGGGAAGGAATTCTGATTTTACAGGCAGGAACGCTGGGGCTCCTTCACATTAGGTGACCTGCCTCGGTTCCGAGCATCCAGGATCAGAGAACGCCAGACCTGTACGTGACCTCGGGGACCAGCCCCACACACCTGCCCATTCACTTTCCCAAGTCAACCACTTCGAGGCCTGTGGGACTCATGCTTCCTGTAGTCTGTCAGCAACTGTAGATGTTATACACCCCAGCATTATTAAATACTTGAGTTATAGCATCATGTGGCTGGAAGGGATCTTTAGAGGTTTCCTAGGAGTTCCAGGCAAATATTTGTCTGTCTTTTTCTTTAAAATGTCTGGGGAAGGGAGATTCCATGACCTGCTTTATTGAAACTGCATACTGATAGGCTGTGGAATCTGGAGCAATTGCTCTCTACAAATTAAAAGCATCAAAGAAATGTAGGGAAGAGAGAGTTAGAGTTAAGGATTTTCTCGCCCCTCCAATGGAACCGTCTCCACTGCCAAAAGGAGTGATGAATGGCCGCGTGTGTCTGTGGTTCTTCGTTTCTCCTGTCTGTGGTCCTGCCTGTGATTACGCGGGGGCCCTGCTGTTTCAGGTAGCATTGCTTCCTGCCTTACACCTTTTCTCCCTGACACTATGCCTCCCCTACTTCAGTGAGAAGCGAGAGATGCCACACTTTCCTGAGTCCCTCTGCCCCAGTGAAATGATAAACGCCTCTGCTTGAAGTCAACATCTTGTGCTTTTGTTGCCTTGTTTCCTGTGGATGAATACACTTTTGATTGGATTGTTGAGGAAGTGCCCTCAAAGGTTATATACAGAAGAAAACAATTGAGCTCACAGTCCTTGGGGAAAATGATGAAATAGGCAAAGCTCCGGTTCTGCTTCTTTCCTGCCTGCGTGTGCTTTTATCCAGCAGGGCAGCCCTGGGACGGCCAGCTGCCCCCTGATCTGCTGCTTGCCTGTGGGCAGCCCATGCCTGGGGCCATATGACCCTGTGCCTGCAACCCCAGCTGCCTGTTCTCCTCAGGAGGCCATCATTCCCGCCCCCTACCTTCTTAATGTTTTTTTGAACGACGTCATGAAAATAGCATTTTGATTTAGGGTAATATGTATTTTTTTTCCTAAAAACAAATCATTGTAGTGCTACAGTTGAGTCATTCTGGATGACTCCAGCAGATGTTCTGTGTGCCCACTGAAGTCTAATGTCAGGGGGTCCGGGTCAAACGTAAACTTCCTTTTTATTTGTTTAGTCAGTTATTTTATGATTCCCCATTCCCCTTTGGAATCCTTAATGAGCTTTTATGGGGAGTTTTATTTTTCCATATGCACCTACTTCTGCCATGTTGAAGTGGCCATTCAGCTTTTGGACTATGTAGTTGAGTGACCTGCCTTACCATTATCTGGAAGAACTCATGAAACGTGATGTCATGTCAGATCAAGCTCCCTTCTTCAGGGCTAATGAAAATTATTATGTGGCTGCCTCTTGAAAAAAGAAATTTTTTAAATATTGCATTTCCAATCAGAGTCCTTCTTTCTACTGATAGTTAAATGTAATTTCAAAAGTAATCAGAAATTAATAGGAAGTTTGCAACAGCAGAATTTCTAAAGTTTATGGATGTTCTCCATTGGGCCCAATGATCTCTTCTAAGAGAATGAGCCCGAGGACTGTCCTGTGACTTGAAACTGGGAAAGTTATGTTTTAGTTCAAGGAAACCCAGGGGGATGTCAGTGCAGGTACAAGGCTAATCAATGAGTAGAAATCATGAATTTAAACATGATTGGCCTTCATACCGGAGTGCAACACCGTCCATAGAATGAACCACAACCAAATCCCCTCATTTCCTTCCATCCAGCTCATGTTCACACTTTGTGGGGTCCTTTGTTGAAGTAGGACACAGAAAGCCCCAAGAGGATTCAGGGATTTTATTGAATATGGCTCAATATTTCAAACTGCAAGAGCTGTTCCATCACTGTCACCTTAGTATCAGTTAGCTGCTTGTTGTTTTTTTGTTTTGTTTTGTTTTCCTTGACTGCATAGCACTCTAGTAAGAGGTACTCTGTACTAGCTGGAAGCAAAAACAGGAGAACAAAATGGGTGTAGCCGGTAAGGCTGTGTATTTGGGCCTGAATGTTTGTGCATCTCTGTGCATGTGCAGTTGCTTTTAACCTGAGGACTGACAGTGGAAATAGGCCGTGTACATATGTGCATTCCTGTTTTAAAAAGGGGTATTGGTGCATAAGTGTTCCTGTCCCTTGTTTGTGAAGTCATCATCAAAGCTGATTGAATAGAAGTATCTGGGGGCCACTGTGCTTTTCTTTTCTTGCAGTTCAAGCGACCACCTTCTCCTAAGAGTTAAGGCCCTAAAAAAGTATTTGTGTAAACAGAATTCATGAGAATAGCAATGAGAAGCCCACACTTGCATTTGGGAAAAATATTAAGTACATAGATGTAAGAGGAGATTTTAGCTGTCCTCCCTGGACCTAAGAACTCTCTCTGCCTTTAGTTTCCAGAAGTGAATGGTTTTCTTGAATTATCTGCAGAATCTGGTTTCCTCAATGACCTTATCTGTCTCCAGAGGAGATTATGTGACTTTGGCTCCTAAATGATGGGCAATCCTGAACTTTGACGTTTTTTCCCCTTCAGTTTTCCTACTTGGAGAAGCTCCTGTTGGTCCACGGTGCTTGGAGCTATAATCGGGTGACCAAGTGCATACTGTACTGTTTCTACAAGAACGTGGTCCTCTACATTATAGAGGTGAGCAAGACCAACTTCTTCCTTGAGGGGGAAGAGGGCATCTTCACATATTTAAGGTAATTTTGAGAAAGGATTTTGTCCTGTAAAATTAAAAGGTGCTGCTGCTGGGACAGACACACATGACCTCTATGAAGCGAGAGATACTTGCAGATCAAGGCCTCAGGCCAAGTAACCACTCAGGGAACCTTTTCGTCCTTGGTCCGGGTAGAATGTTGTCATTTACACTCTGCTCATCCTTGGGAGGTCAGAGCCTGGGCAGCTGATGTTTGCATCTTTCTTGTGGGCACTGAGATGTTTCCAGGCAACCCAGTCATTCTTTTCTGTCCTAGAATGAAAGGGCCTCATTTCTTGCTATATTTCCCATGGAATCTGCAAGTTACCCAAGCATTGATTCGTTGCCTCTGGGATATTTGGATGATACTCTTTAAATGGGGAAGATGTGGGAGTAAGTGGGGAGTAAACAAATAAGGTAATTAAAAATATCTCGGTGAACTTATTGGGTCGTCAAGCTGGTTTTCAAGATGTTGATTCAAATATAAGCACATTTATTTTACTTATTAGAGGGACTAGGGCAGGAGAGGGGGCGGGCCCAGGAAAAAGTGGAATGGGTACTTGCTGTTTGAACTCACTAGAAGTGCCAGCCACCTTTCTGCTCCTCTTTAGGGACCGCTCTGCCACAAAGGTGTAGCTTTTGAGGCCAAGGTGGCTACTAGATTTCCATGTGTGTTTAGAAAAGAGGAAGCAGGCAGTCACTCTGTGGAGAAATAGAAAAGCAGGGATAATTGCATATGGGGTTAATATCTCATTCTGTTACACATTATTTTGTGTCTGATTTCTGAAGTTTTGGCAGAAATAATAACCAAGACATAGATCATCTTTATCTGATGTGATCCTTTAAAATACACAGCTTAGGGAATTTAGCAAGTGGTTTGCTAATGTGACTGTGACTAAACATTTCTTTATGTTCAAATTGTCTACTCTTTCCTATCAAATATTCAGGTGAAACATAAAGGTTCACATCATTCAATCTGTAACCAAACTACTAATGAATAGTTTTCCTGAGTTGTGCAGGTTGTTTACTGCACAAAGCTGCCCAGCCAAAGGGGTAAATGGGACAGAAATGTAGGAAAACCCAGAAGAAGATATATATTACTCTAATTTACACAAAGAATAGCCTACTTGCCTTGTCTGCTTGTCTTGTGCTGTAATACTCAGCTCAATCCACTCTGAATAAGAACTTCTAGATGTTATTTGTAAAGGATTTTATAGTTTCTACTTTCCTCCCGTCTACATTTTTTACAGTCTTTTTTGGCACCTAAATATGTTTGTCTTTCTCTTTTTGTGACTTTTTTTGGTCTCCATGATAGCAGTAACTCCTGAATGTCACTTGGGGTCATAGATAATTAGGGCTGTGGACTAAAGGAGTGTGGGAATCCATGCTTCCACGTGCCATTCCATGTTATACATGCATTTTCAGCTCCTGTAGTGGTTGGCTTCACAAGGTTTCTTAATAATCTGGTTTTCCTCAAAAGCAGCAAATTACAGATAGTCTAGACGTCTTATCAAGACATTTTACATGAAGCTCCCAACCCTCTAGCTTCCCAGAGCTTCCTCTGGGGCCCTTCTTAGTCATTTACACCTCCTATCTTGCCTTTTTTTTTTTTTTTAACTTCAAGAGGGCTAAGGATGAGAAGAGTACAATTTTTGTCTGTCTGGAAAATTCTATTTGGAATGAGGCCCTGAAAATGCCATGTGAGTTTCTTAAATTAATTAAATTAATTTTTCAATTGTAGCTGAGCCATAGTTGTAAACGGTCCTTTGTAAACAGCCTTTAAAAACATTCTTGATAAAATTTAAAAATTAAATAAAGTCCCCACCACTGTGGTCTCAGTTTTCTACTTAGTGTTGCTAGGAGATTTAATTTGGAAACCGAGAAAACAAAATCCTCAACTGAGCCCAGAGCACTGACTCAGTGTCTATCAAACCTCTGTGGCATCAAGATGTACTCCAAATATAATTTTAAAAACAGGAAAGTACACTTGCATGGTATCTTATTGTGTTTTGAACCAAAAGATCAAAGATTTTTGTCATTTAATTTGCTCTTCTGCAGTGAATATTTTGCGATCTAAAGGTTACCTTGTAACTAATTGAGAATAAATTGTATTATATATTATTCTTAAATGGTTTTTATTCTTAAACGGTTTTCTTGTAACTCAGGGAGAAACCCTTTGCAAGAGCCAGGATGTTCTCATCTCAGAGGTCCTCTGATATATGTAACTGTCAGTCACTTATAGATGTAGTCTAAAAGCAGTTTGGCAGATTAAAAAAAGATGCACAAATGGGTATGTGCACATACCAATAGTCTTGGCAATTATGAGGATCAGTATGATTTGAATTACCAAGAAAGATTGTATGGAAGACCTATGAGCCTGTAATACAATCTACTTGCTTGGTTCACTGACCTATGAAACTTGTTTTTTCTGCAGAAGGAATACATGGCTCTATCCCCACTGCAATAAGGAACACCATCTGAAAGTTCTCTCCACTCTCATCCCTAGCCCCCTTAGGTATATTCCTTTATGACCTTTTCCTGTGTTTATGGAGCTGTTTACATATACAAACAAATCGTTGCTTTTACATAAATGTCCTCATGCTTTGTAATATGTTCTGCCGTTCATGATATACCTACCATTGTATTTGGGAGATCATCCCCATGACTACATATAGATTCATTGTGTGATGTTTCACAGTATGGTTTCCTACAGTCATTTAACCATTCCTATATTGACAGATGTTCAAGTCATCTCCCTTCTTACCCACTAAAAGCCGTGTGGAATAACAGCTTTCCCTCTCAGTAGACCATAACTCTTCTACCAGAATGACAGTGATCTAATTCAAGCATTACCACCACTGCACCTTCAGCACCTTGAACATAACACATGATCAGGGTTATGCATTATCATTTGTACCCCTGGTTCCTTGTTGCTGACAGACCTCAGTGCTATTTGATATGTCATAAAATTTGTTCAGACTGAAATAACTGTTGGTTCAAGTGATTAAAATAGGAACAAAATGATGGAATTGGTGATTTCAGGTCACCCTCTCAGTAGGCAAAATGAAAAATGCATAAACCTTGACTCTCCATTCTCTTCCACTGCTGCCTTAATTTAGTACTTCTTACCTGCATGATAGCAAAGACTGCTGGCTTCACACCGACCATCATCTATAATGCACCCAGGATGAGGTTCCTGAACAAATACATACATGAGTGACTTCAGTGGCTGGCACAGCTTCTAGAACCGAAGTGCTCAGACCTGATGGCAGGGAGTGAACGAGTGCCACCATCCTCTTCAACTCTCCAAGTTCCTATGGCCTCTGATGAAATCCCCATGTACCCCTGCCCATCGTGGATCCCAACTGCCATCAGCCTCATCTCCCACTCCATCCCTTATTCTGTTTTTAACCAGTGCTCTGGAAGTGCCACTAATACACAATTAGATACACCTTTATTAATTATACAGTTCTGTAAATTAAAACTGGATTTTATTATTAGAAACTAACTGGCAGTTGTCTGTTTGCCTCCCGTAGGAGGCACAAAGTGTTTCTGGAGATGGATCACAAATAGGGTTGCCCAACAGTATGAACGTACACTTAAAAATGATGAGAATGGTAAACTTTATGTTATGTGTATTTTACCACAATAAAAAAATGCTGAAACAATTTTTAAAAGAGTATCATAAGTACCTTGGACTTGAATCACTGGAGGGAAACAAAAATGAGCAGCCAGACCACATGCTTTGGAGAGCTCCCTGAAGGTTTGAAAAACAAACTTGACATGTAGTTTTGTTTTGTCACAGCAATTAAATGCTAAGTTTTGTGGCTGTGACTAGATGGACCATATTTCTCAGAAGGTAAAATTCTGTTGTTTAGCCCATGCAGAATCTCCAAGTCTTGTGGGGCTGATGGGGTTCCCTGTGTGTCTGAGGTGGGGGGCAGGTAAAGGAATGAAATTAGCAAAGGTAAGGAGATAGGGCTGGGTGGAATGTATAAATGGCTAGGGATGGGGATCTAAATAACTAGACAAGAGTTTTCTTGCTATTGGAAGCTGGAATTCCTTTTTCATTCTGAAATAAGCAAGTGACACAGTAAAAGCAATTTCAGAAAATGTGAATGTCAATATGTAGGGCAGATGGTAAGCAGAGACCTTTAATGTAATTTTGTAGTTTTAACCTTTAATTATCTCCCAGCATAATTCATAAGCAGAGAGGAATGACTGATTTTTAAAACTCTCTGATTTTGACAATGGGAGGAATTTATCTTAAATGTAAGATATCTTAAATGTAAAGATTGGAGAAATATTTCTTTTTTTTCCTTTCTTTTTTTTATTTTATAAATTAATTTTTATTGGTGTTCAATTTACCAACATACAGAATAACACCCAGTGCTCATCCCGTCAAGTGCCCCCCTCAGTGCCCATCACCCATTCACCCCCACCCCCCGCCCTCCTCCCCCTCCACCACCCCTAGTTCATTTCCCAGAGTTAGAAGTCTTTATGTTCTGTCTCCCTTTCTGATATTTCTCACACATTTCTTCTCCCTTCCCTTATATTCCCTTTCACTATTATTCATATTCCCCAAATGAATGAGAACATACACTGTTTGTCTTTGGAGAAATATTTCTATATATTTTTGAGGTCCTCATTTGACTGCTCTGTGATAATTCCCAAAGAGAGAAGGGTCGCTTAAATTCCTTAAAGTTCCTATGCTAATGTCCACAATAGCCAAACTGGAATGAGCCTCAGTGTCCATCGAAAGATAAATGGATAAAGAAGCTGTGGTCTATGTACACAATGGAATATTCCTCAGCCATTAGAAACGACAAATACCCACCATTTGCTTCGACGTGGACGGAACTGGAGGGTATTATGCTGAGTGAAGTAAGTCAGTCAGAGAAGGACAAACATTATATGGGTTCACTCATATGGGGAATATAAAAAAATA